TATCTTACAATATTTGCTCTTAGTCTTAGCAAACTTTAAGAGTAGTAAGTTCTATATGTTTATTCTTCTTCTATTAAAAAGTGCTACTTTTACTTTGCCCTAAAATATTTCTTTAAAATGTTAAAGTTGTCCTTAGTTCTTATGCTGTGAGATTTAATAAGTTCATATTTTTATCCTAGGTTTTCATTATCCTATAAATCTCAATCATATTCCCCTCTCAGCCTGTGTCTTTCTTTCCAGAATGAAGAATGCTAATCCTTTTATCATCACTCACAAAGAATGTTCTCTACCCTCTTGATCAACTTACATGTCCTTCTCTAGACCTTGTCTGGCTCTGTAATTCTTTGAGGTACATCAGATCACTGGGCTCCCATCACTCCGTCTAATCTTCTGTATAAAAGAGCACAATGGCTTTAGCTAAAATGTAAAAATATTTGAGAGACCATTTTAAAAATCAAACAATTCTTTCGCTCCATGTCAGCCCAGCTTATGCTGAAAAAAATATATATTTTTTGCTTCAATAAAATGAAATGAACTCTGAAATGAATTTAAATACACTGGTAAAAGTCAACCTTATAACCTATTATGAAAATAACTTGCAAAGTACTTTTACATACATTATCTCATTTGACACTCACATGAACCATGCAAGGTAGAGAAAACATGTGATCCTTATTTTTCACATGAAAAGAGTAAAAAGGTGCCGGGCGCGGTGGCTCAAGCCTGTAATCCCAGCACTTTGGGAGGCCGAGGCGGGTGGATCACGAGGTCAAGAGATAGAGACCATCCTGGTCAACATGGTGAAACCCCATCTCTATTAAATATACAAAAATTCAGCTGGGCATGGTGGCGCATGCCTGTAATCCCAGCTGCTCAGGAGGCTGAGGCAGGAGAATTGCCTGAACCCAGGAGGCGGAGGTTGCGGTGAGCCGAGATCGCGCCATTGCACTCCAGCCTGGGTAACAAGAGCGAAACTCCATCTCAAAAAAAAAAAAAAAAAAAGAAAAGAGTAAAAAGGTGATTAGACCAAGATCAAAGAGCTAGAATTAGAGCCCCAGTCCCTGGCCCTTCATCAAGAGAATGGTGCTTTTGCAGCTGTGCACTGCATCCTTCCTTATATTCACTTGCCATTTATTTTAAATCACAAACTACCCCCTCTAAGACGTTCGGTGATAAACAGCAGTTATGAAATAATTCATGGTTCTATTGAAAGGAAACATGTTCAAGGCTAGTCTATACCCTATTCTTTTCTGGCTCTATACACTCTCCATGGTTAATCTCAGCCACACCACAGGTATCAATATCGCCTCCTTGCAAATGATTCCCAAAGTTACATCTCTAGGCCACACCTCTCTTCAGAGCCCCAGACAGGTATTTAACATGTCCTGTAAATCTCAATAATTACAAAACGTAACTTTTTGCCCCATCATAGCTTCTCCCCACTGCCAAAACCCAATTCTGATGTCCCTTTTCTCAAACATCTAGGAGCTAAGAGTCATCTTGACATTTCCCTCTCCTTCCCCCACCCTACCCCATATCCAATTTAACATCAAGTCCTTTCACCTTCATCTCCTGAATAGCTCTCCCTTCTGTTCGTTTCTCTCCTTCCCCATCACCACCACCTTAGTCCAGGATACAACCATCTTTCATTTGGGCTTTAGTGGACTCCTAACTGTTCCTCTCTAATCCCTTCTCCCCACCATAGCTGGAGGGATTCCAAAAGGCCATTCCGGTCATGCTGCCCCTTTCCCACCTCTGCTTACAACACTTCAGTGGCACCCCTTGCTTTTAGCGTAAAGTCAAAACTCCCATAACTTGTTTGCACATCCCTGCCTAACCTGGTCCCCACCACCAGCCTCATCTCACAACAGTAGCCTTTATTTCTCAAGCTTCAGCCCCACTAGACTCCTTTCAGCTCCCTTTATTCACTGAGCTTTCACTAGCCACAGGGTCCTGGAATATTCCCTTTCTTCCCTATCTAAATCACTAGGATTAAATTCCTAGAAGCTTCCATCTTCAGATAGAGGCTCAAGGGTCTTTCCTCGAGGAAGTTTCTTAATCTTCCTGAGTTGAATTCCTCCATTAGACCTCAGATGGCACCAGTTTAGCATGACTTTATATATTTGATTAATGTCTGTCTCCCCTACTAGATTCGTAAACTTTTGCTCACACAGAAGCACATCGATAAATGCTTATGTGAATATGAATAAGCCCACTAATGAGGAAATGATTATATATCATATACCTCACTATGGAATACTAAGCAGCTGCTAAAAAGAGATAACTCATATACTAACACGAATGTCTATATTATTAATTTAAAACAGCACATTACAGAACAGTATGCATACTATTTTTAAAACTTATATGTGTATACATTTATTTAAAAAAAAAAACTCTGTGTTTGTTGGGGTGGTGTGGGAGGCTGTATTTAAAAAGGTTTGCACTGGGCGTGGTGGCTCAAGCCTGTAATCCCAGCACTTTGGGAGGCCGAGGCGGGTGGATCACAAGGTCAAGAGATCGAGACCATCCTGGTCAACATGGTGAAACCCCGTCTCTACTAA